TGAACCGTACAACACCTTAAGTAGAATTTACAACATAATAAAGCTATGAAGTTACACCAACACATTTTTTATACCTAAAAGACCCTAACCCTCATTGACAATTATAAGATTTTAAGATATTATTCAATATATTACCCAATAATCTACATTGTGGTTACCAAAAGCTTTGTTATAGACGGTATAATGCACAATCTCTGTGCCCCCAATACAATTTTTAAGCGTACTAAATTTTATAAATAATAGTAGGACTAACTATGATACGGAACACTTAAACATACTTTAATTACTTTTTCGGCGACCTCGGATGCTCTGCATCCTCCAGAAGACCAGAACTATAATTATAATTTGACTATTATTAGTTTTGTATTTTAGTTAGGTTTGATTGCACAGCGTTAGTTTAACGTAAACTTTTGAACCCTGCAATCCATTCTCTTTTAGTTTTTGTACAGTTACCTAAAAATTCTAAAATCTAAAATGTTTTTGACTTCCTAGGAGTTAATTATTTAAGAATCGAATAGTACCGAAGAAACGCCCCAAATTGTATCGAAACGTACTGCAAATTGGTACGAGACAAAACAGGTTCTATATATGTTCGGGACGATACCAGTTCTTTGATTTTTAAAAGAGCCGTACTTTGGGACGAGATAGGTTTTTTGAAATACCCGCCCAGTACCGTCCCTTGCTTTCCAAAAAAGAAAATATGACAAAGATATAAGGGACAGTGGAAGTACTTTTTTCACCATTTTTAAAAGGTAAAGTTTTCAAAATATGAGTAAATATATTTTGGAATTCCAAAATGTGATTATTATGTTCTTCTTTTCGAAATAAGAGTATTTATTACATTCTTGTGGTCATTGCTATGATTAATGACACTATTTTTCAATCATGATCGTAATGACTCTTATTTCGGGAATAAAAATATAGGGAAAATTCCTGAAATAGTATTGCCAAATTGGAAAATAGTGTCATGTTTAAAGTCTGGTACCGTCAGAACATGACAATAATTAATCCTATTTTGGAAATAAAAACATGATAATACTATTTTGAGATATACAAACGTTTTTAGTTCTATTTGAATAATTTCCTAAAAATATAGCAATTCTATTTTAATATTCCAAAACTATTTACTCGCATTAAAGGTTCTGTCTTCTGTCCACAGAAATAATTTGTCCGGCCCTAAATCAATCCAGCAGGATAATTGCCAGCATAACAAACAGCTTGAAAGTACGTAGATCGGCAATAACGTGTGAGTTGATTGTACCTCTGCTTAATTACTTGAATTCTTATACTGCAAGTTCATATGTTTATACAATAGGGTTTGACGTTTGAATACATTCATGTTTTCATACGTACTGCAATTGTGATGTTTATTATAGCCAATTAAATGAATTTATGGATCCAACAAGGGAGGGGGGTATGTATACGTAGTATATACAAGGTAGATGAAGAGAGATTACATGTTCCATATTATACTGCGGTTTGAGTTGGATCACCATGCATATCAATATATATCTAGGAGTAATTCTTGATGTACAGAGGCAATTCTCAAAATTTATGCATTCTTAGATGAATTCAAACCTATTGTACCAAATTCCGTGTCAAGCCATTTATTTTGTCACCATCTATTGTGTAACGTAGAAAGTACTACATCCGTCCCACTATGTTTGGGACAATTCGGTTTACGATGTTTGACCGACGATAAAGCAAACACGACCTCATCCGCACTCAAATTATTTTTAGAAAAAATAATTACATATTCAAAAACTACATTAAAAACTTTACAAAGTCACGAAAACCAGAATCAAATTTGATAAAAAAATTGATATATGAAGTAAGAGATTACGAGTTATTTGTGTTGACCAAGTGAATAGTTTCCGAGACAATATTAAGAGGCCGTTTGGCAACACTGTTTTTCGGCTTACCAGTCAACTTTTTCACCAAACACGTAACTTTAGCTTTCACGCGCTGAATTGTGTAATAAGCAGAAAAAGTAAGGCTGAAGTTACTTTTCTGGCTGTATTGGCTGAAGTAACTGTAGATGATCATTTTAGTTATTTTTACATATAATTTTTTTATTTATTTTATTAATAAAATATATTTTTTTTCTTAAATCATCAGCAGAATCATCCAATGCAGCCACTTCAGCAAGAACTTCATAAATTTCAGCAGAATCAGCCAAATCAACCGATTTTCGTGCCACCAAACGAGCTCCTAACTGGACGGAGGGAGTAATTGATTTAAATGTCATGTACTATGTATGTACTAATGGTTTTTTTTCCAATAAAACATAGGCGCAGGACCCTTAACTAGTAGAAAAAATTTGCCTCACAACACTAGAAAAATTATTCGTGGTATCATTAATTTAGGAAACTTACATTACAATTAGGAATAACAACAAAATTACTTTCCCGGTCTGATAATAACGTGCCTTGCTTAGCTAATGCATAGGAGACCCAATTCAAAGAGACACCAAAACTACTCTTTGTTTTCAACAGACCACGTATATATATTAGTGATGGCAACGGGGCGAATCGGGGACGGGTACACATAAAACCGAAACCGCCCCGTTCGATAAATGTTTGCCCCAAAACCGCCCCATTACCCGTTCGGGTAATTTTTATTTGAACCGTACCCGCCCCAACGGGGAATCGGTTTATCCACGGGTAACCGTTTCCCCAAATGATACCAAATAACCATTTTTTGGAAAATAAATAACCAATTTTTAATCCTACCTGTTATTTATATATTCAAAGCACCTTAAAACATACAAAAGTAAACATTTAAGCAATCAAGCAGACTGGCCTAAACTCATTAGTATTATGCACCTAATATCTCTTGTAACATAATAAAAAAGTACTCCGTAGTAATCATCCCAGAATCCAAATTCCAAAAACAGGTTTAGGCCTATATTTAGTTTTAGGCCTAAAAAAGTAGTATACTTTTTAGCATTATTTATATGATATATACTATTTAGTATACACAATTTAGCATATATACTTATTATTCCTATATATAAAAAGTTATAATTCATTAATAATGTTACGGATCGGGTAACGGTGCGGGTACCCGCACCATTAGTGAACGGGGCGGTTTCAGGGCGGATAACGGGGCGGATTAGTATAGAACCATAACCGCACCATTAACCATTTAAATTTTTCGGGTATTCCCCGCCCCGTACCCATTCCCCAGTCAAATCGGTTTTCCCCAATTTGACCAAATCGGTTCGGTGCGGGTATCCAACGGGTCGGCCGAAATTGCCATCGTTAAAGCTACAGATCAAAAAAGGAGAGCCTTTTCACCCCCCATATTTCATTGCACCACCGTTAAAGCATCTTACTCGAATTCAACATTTTCTTCGGCTTCCCGAATAGTGCGGCACCGACGACAGCTCGAACTCCCATAGCCATGGTTTCAGCCGGACTCCTATCACCATGTTTGGATGTGGTAAAAGCCATTGCCCCTGATCAGTATGGGAAACCAACTCCACACCGTATTGCCTCCCACCTCATTAACTGTGGCATATATCCATATTCACCTTTATAAAACCTGCTTGAGGTTTCTTCCAGCTAGTCGTATTTTAATGTTTTAACAATAATTATTTTAGAAATACTAAAGTTATTGTTGAAACATTTTATTGGTTAAATTAACAAAATTATGAAAAAATTATATTAAATGCTCCGTATATTTTACTCCCTTCGTCCCATTTTAACTAATCAAACTTAACTTTTCAAGTCAATGGTGTCTAACTTTGACTGATTATATATTACTCCGTAAAATTTAATACAAAAAGAGATAAAAATATTATTTGTTAAAAATACTATCATAAAAATATAAATAAAATTATTACATTTTGCAAAAAAATATTAGTCAAAATAATTTATCAAAGTTTATCATATTTAACCTTAAAAGTCAAAGACGGCAAACTAAAATGGGATGGAGATAGTATTAAATAAAAAAGTAACTTTATATAAAAAAACTATAACATTCTTTTTCATCAAATTCAATCAATACATATTTAAGTCATTTAAGTCATAATCGTAATATTTTTCTTTCTCACTTCTATGTCAATTGTAAGGTGAGTGTCCATTTGGTGACCCTTATTTCAAACTTACAATCCTTATTTTAGAGACCAACTTTTGATTTCACGTGTTGAATTGTGTAATACTCCGTGGTCCTGCTAAAATTGTCTCATTTTTCATTTTATGTCTACCCTATTAATATTGTCTCTTACTAAATTTTGTAAAGTTTGTGTGGTTTTGAATCATTTTTACCTTCGTCTTGCTTTATCAATTGAAAATCACCCACATAACCTCACTTTTCATAATAATCGTGTCACATCCCCATGTGCCAATGTTAGTGAGATGAAGGTAGTAATAAACATAAGTAAGGTTATAGTTATTTTTTGCTTGATTTGCCTGAAATTAGTATAGATGATCATTTAAGATATTTTTCATATCATTCTTTGTATATTTTATTGGGAAAAAGGTCAGATAGGTCCTCGAACTTACATAAAAAGGTCAAATAAGTCCTTATATAAGAGGCTCTGTTCGGCCATTGCCATTTAGGGCAGTTTCGAGTGGAAAATTTTTGATGAAATGTTTTGAACATATTATTCATCAAGTCTAGTTTATTCATACCAAATTTCAGCTAAAACTTCAATCGGGAAGGCATTCAAATAATTTCTCGAAGATAACTACGTAGTATGCGCAATATGCACAGTTATCTTCAAGAATTAATTTGAATGCCTTCTCGATTAAAGTTTTAGCTTAAATTTGGTATGAGTAAACTAGAGTTAATGAATAATATGCTTAGAAAATTTCATCAAAAAATACCATCGGAACCGCCCCAAATGGAGACGGCCAGACAGAGCCTCCTATATAAGGACTTATTTGACCTTTTTATGTAAGTTCGAGGACATATCTGACCTTTTCCCCTATTTTATTCATAAAGTAGTACGACGTATAATTTTTTATATTCATCTGATTCTGCCAAAACAATCTTTTCAATCAGAATTTCATAAATTTCGACAGATCTAGATAAAATAATTTTCTCATTGTCAAAGACCAGTCAAATAGGTAACATATGGAGGCATTTTTATGTACTCATACTTCTATTATAGTATCTACTCTATACTTTTATCGAGGCATTAGTGCATTACAAATAAAGCAGGGAAAAAAAACAAAAGCCGTTAAAAAAGAAATAGAGCAAACATTAAAAACTCTTTTGCCTAAAACAAATATTCAGCCATTAAAAAGCCAAGGGGACTATGAATGCCCAATTGCCAAATGTGAACTCGAAGTTGGTTCGTGAGGGAAAATGACTTTTCCGCCTCTATCCTTGAAAATGAGCATTCACTCTTCAGATTCTGCTTGCCCTTGAGATATAGGATTTGGATTGTATCTTCGTTGCAGGATTTCAAAAGACATTATAACATCTTTTTTCTTGTTTCAATTTTTGTTTTATATAGTAAAACTACCTGCTATGGAGGTGAAAGACAGAATCAGTGGACTTCCTCTGGACATACTTGCCCACATTTTGGGATTATTGCGGATTGAAGAAGCTGCTAAATCTGCCATTTTGTGTACGAGTTTGAGAGATGCTTGGTTAAGTCTTACCCACCTCAACTTTGATAGTCATTTCTTCAAATACATTCTGGACCGTTATATAGCAGAGTCAAGTCAATTACTAAAGTCTGTAATCAACACAATCATCATTAAACGCAACGGCCCTATTCGAAAATTTGTGTTTGATATTAACTTCCCAAGACGACGTAAAGATAAGTCTAGGTGGTTGGCCTTTGATGAATGGTTATATTGTCTAACCCAGAATGGTGTTGAAGAAATGCACCTCTCTTTTGGCCTACATACGGCATACATTTTGCCAGATTGCATATTTTCTTGCCCGACATTAAAGACGTTGCATCTTTCGGGAGTCTGTTTTGAACAAGTTAGCACCCCTTGCATATTCCCAAATGTTACTTCACTTTTCTTAGAAAACATCCGGTTTGATCACAGAAAATGTTCTGCTGCTGAACTTCCTATGCTCAGGAATCTAACTTGTGAAAGCATTTCTGGTTTTAACTTTACTGCCCCAAAGCTTAGAAGTTTGAGATTTCGTGCTCCTAAGTATGACATTGCTGGAAGAAACCCGTTTCTCATTCTTCCAGTTAAGTTAGACTTGAGAACTGTACACTCTCTTCATCTTGAAACAATTGACCTTGAGGTATATAATACAGGCTTTTGTTTTGTTATTATTACTTGTAGATTACTACGTAGATGATTTATTTTTGATAAAATGACAGTTTTCAACTCCCGTTTATTTTTATTTCAAGAGGTTTGTTAGAGAGTTATCTTGGGTGGGACAAGAACAAACCACACTCAATGTGGAACACCTGCAGCTACGCTTGTATGACGAGTATTCAGATAACATATCGATGTGCTTTCACTTGTTGCAGATGTGCCCAATGTTGATCAAACTTGAGATACATTTAACAGTAATCTTCTCTTTGTGAAGAACTATCTCAAGTTTTTAGTTTGCATTTTTCAATTCAGTCTTGATCTTTGAATGTTAAATTGAAAATTTTGTTTGTTTTGTTTTGATGCATTTTCCCTTAGTTCGGGGCAGGGTTTGCAAGTGCAGAAGAACTATTGGAGCTCCCTGAGCATACTTTGGCCCAAACATTCGATACAATTCGGGATTTAAGTATTGTTTGCTGGTTTCAAGGGACAATTCCTGAAATGATATTCTTCAAATGGCTACTTCGCCGCTTTCCGGCACTTCAGAAGGTTTTATTTTTTCCAAATTATATGTATTCGGGACAGAACCTATCTCAAGATATGGAGACACTTTTGTGCTTTCTCCATGCAGATAGAGAAGTAGAAGTTTCTTATTGCATTTTCAATGAAGCCAAAGACTCACTATTTTTTGGGTTTGGGATTATGATGGAATAAAGCAAAATGACTTACTAAAATGTATGCGCTTCTTTGTTATAAAGCAGCAGTCAGTCCGTGCAATTTTCGACGCGATTATCAGTATGGGTCATCCGGAAACGGTCTCTTTGTGCTTAAGTACAGAGGTAAGACTGCGTACATCCAGCCCCCTACCCCACTATAGGGGGAGCCTTTGCGGCACTAGGGTAATGATGATGATGATTAAGTAATGTGTAAGTTGAATATATTAGCATACATTCTCGTTATTTTAAAGTTCATATCTCTAGCTTTAACTTTGGAGTTGGTTGAGTTATAATTTATAAATGAATATCTACGAATATGTAAATCATTGTTGAACTCCTATGTTCCAACAATCAATTCATTATCACTTTAGGGAAAATAATTTTATCCTACATAATGGAAGTCCTAAGAGAATGATCTGATAAATAAAAGAAGGCTTTATTTTGCTCTTCGTTCACGGGGCACAACAGTCAACACTCAACAGGCTTCACATTTGCAGCTCTTCGAATGAGTGGACCATCATGAATATGTGTGTAGTTGGTGAAGAGTTTACTTAGGTGTTTTTTCAATCTATGTTTAGAAACTTATGTGTACTTGTGCATTGCATGGTAAGATATGTATTTAAAATTTTCTTTTGGCACAAATAGAAATAAAAATTGTATTTGACTTTGTAGATTACATACTACATTTGACTGAGTTACAAATATCGAATTTCGAAAATGGTTAAGATTATTGTCAAAATTAGTATTTTTCTTTTGGACTGAAATTTGTTGGTCTGGTCTGATCTGGTCTGGTTTGATCTAGTCTTGTTTGTTCTGGTAAACGTCTGGTCTCTGTGTATTTTATAACTACGGAAGTCTGGTCTGGTCTGGTCTGTTCTGGTCTGGTTTGTTCTGATCTGGTCTATTTTGATCTGGACGTCTGGTCTGTGACTGAAAACAGTCCAAAAGAAAACATCCTAGAATTTAAATGAGAATTGTGTTGAGTGTGAACGAAGCTATATTTTGAAATGAGATGAAACTAACAAGCTAGCCCGTTTCAACCCATTTAGCGGTGTTCATTTTTACCCAATTAATTCATGGTTGTGGTTAATTTGGCTCACATAGGATACGGGTGGCAATTATATACTTATTGTTAGACACGTGTGTAGATAATTTTGCATTAGCCTCTTTTGTAAATTAATTATTGGGCCATAGTATTTAGTTTATAATAGGGCTGCAGTTCATATGTATAAATACGGATGTACTCTTATGATTAAGGGAATGAAAATTATTCGACATTATTTCTTTCATACTGGTGCATAAATTCGACATGGTATCAGAGCCTCCATAAGGTTGCCGTAGATCATTTTTTTTCTTCTTCGACGGCACTGTGCGGCACGAGCGTGTCCAGTACGGTGACCATGGGAGACGAAGCTGGGCGTGGAGGAGGCATACACATGCATACAATTACTTCTTCCTCTGCGACGCAGGATCTGGGTAGTAGCAATGCTCCCTTTCACAGTGACCCGGCAAGTTTACATGACCTGAGTAAGGAGCAGGTTCAAGCTCTTTTGAATTTAATTAATGGTGACACTCGCTCGAATGATCAAATGGGTGGTATGTGTACTTCTTTTGATTGGATCATTGATACCGGGGCATCTCATCATGTCACGGGCGATTCCTCTTGTCTTACAAATATCACTAGTATCCGTGAGTGTCCGGTTGGGTTGCCGGATGGACGAAATGCGGCGGCCATCTTGGAGGGCAGTGTGTATCTTACTAAACATATTGTCCTTCATCATGTTCTTTATGTTCATGGGCTAAATTGTCATCTTATTTCGGTCTCTCAGTTGGCTGATCAGTCTAAGTGTATTGTCACTTTCACTAATTCTTCTTGTGCTATACAGGACCTACACTCGAGGAACCTGATTGGAGCCGGTGAAAGACGAGATGTGCTCTATTACTTCCGAGGTGTCCCCGAGCTACATGCTGTCAAGAAGCCAGAGATGACTGATTTTGAATTGTGGCATCGTAGGTTGGGTCATCCTTCAGACAGAGTTGTTAAATTACTGCTCGCTATTAGTTCAAGTTCTTCCAAAAAGCAATTAAGTAAAGCTTGTGAGGTGTGTCCGCAAGCCAAACAAGTTCGTGATTCTTTTCCTATTAGTACTAATAAAGCAAGCCGAATTTTGGAATTGATTCATTGTGATTTATGGGGGCCTTACAAAACCCCCTCTACATGTGATGCTATTTATTTTATGACACTTGTTGATGATTTTTCACGGGCAGTGTGGGTATATTTATTGCATGATAAGAAGGAAGTTCATAAATATTTCCTCTCGTTTATTGCTATGGTTGAAAAACAATTTGAAGTGCCTGTGAAAAGTGTTCGTAGTGATAATGGCACAGAATTTAAATGTCTGTTGCCATATTTTGAGGAGCGTGGAATTCTTTTTCAGACTACATGTGTTGACACACCCCAACAAAATGGGAGAGTGGAGCGTAAACATCGTCACATTTTAAATGTGGCTCGTGCTTTAATGTTTCAAGCAGAGATTCCTATTAGTTTGTGGGGAGAGTGTGTTCTGACGGCGGTTTATCTTATTAATCGCACACCTTCCAGATTGTTGGGGGGTAAAACCCCTTACGAAGTTCTTACAGGAGTCACACCGAGTTTTCTTCATTTAAGAGTTTTTGGGTGCCTATGCTTTGCCCATAATCTCAAATCTAGAGGTGATAAATTTGCTCCACGAAGCCGACGTTGTCTGTTTATTGGGTATCCTAATGGCAAGAAGGGATGGAAATTATATGATTGTATTACGGGTGACATTTTTGTATCTCGTGATGTTCAATTCTATGAGGATGAATTTCCTTTTTCGATGTCCTCTCATACTTCCCAGTCCGTAGATATGGAGGAAGGGGTACAATTGCATGACACTACTCCTTTTATTTTTGATGATGAGCTACTGGAGACCACCCAATCAGCCGCACGTGTTGAGCAAATAAATGAGGGTCCAGTTCATGCTATGCCTATTGCGCCAGAACAAACTGCAACGGAGACTTCTGCCGACACCACTTTGGCCGAGACTGCTACGTTTGGTCGTGGCATGCGATCCAAACGTACCTCTATGCTACTTCGTGATTTTGTTACACATCATGTTCGGAATTTGAGCCCATCTACGTCATCACCCGTCTCACCTGGTTCCTCAGGTACGCCATACTCTATTACTCACTATATAAAATGTGATAAATTTTCTGCCCGCCATCGTGCGTTTCTTGGAGCTCTTCTTGCAGGTCATGAACCTTGCTCCTTCCGGGAAGCTATGACTGATGTTCGATGGCGTGATGCCATGCAGAACGAGATCAGGGCTCTTGAAAATAATAACACGTGGGACATGACGTGTTTACCTGCTGGCAAGAAGGCGCTTGGCTGTAAGTGGGTCTACAAGATCAAATATAATTCTGATGGCTCCATCGAGCGATATAAAGCCCGACTTGTAGTATTTGATAATCACCAAAAGGAAGGTATTGATTACACTGAGACTTTTGCTCCTGTGGCAAAAATGGTTACTGTTCGGGCTTTTCTAGCTGTTGCTGCGGCTCGTAATTGGGAATTGCATCAAATGGATGTTCATAATGCTTTCCTGCATGGTGATTTGGATGAAGAAGTTTACATGAAACTTCCACCAGGTTTTTCCTCCTCTTGACCTGGCTTAGTTTGCCGACTCCGGAAATCCTTATATGGCTTGCGCCAAGCACCTCAGTGCTGGTTTGCCAAGTTAGTTGCATCTTTGAAAAAATATGGTTTCCGTCAATCTTATTCTGATTACTCTCTTTTTACCTACCAAAAAGGGGCCATTCATTTATATGTACTAGTTTATGTGGATGATTTGATTCTTTCGGGCAATGAATCGCATGCTTTATCTGATTTCAAATCATATTTGAGTTCGTGCTTTCACATGAAAGATCTTGGTGTTCTCAAATATTTTCTTGGCATAGAAGTGACTCGCAGTGCTGATGGTATTTTTCTTTGTCAACGTAAGTACACATTAGATATTATTGAAGAATCTGGTCTTCTTGGGGCGAAGCCTGCAACTTTCCCAATAGAGCAGAATCATACTTTAGCTTCGTCGACGAGTGCTCTATTATCTGATCCGGAGTCTTACCGGCGCCTTGTGGGCCGTCTTATATATCTCTCCTTCACGTACTCGTCCTGACCTAGCATACTCTGTTCATATTCTCTCTCAGTTCATGCAGGCCCCACGAATGGATCATTGTCATGCGGCTCTTCGAGTTGTTCGTTATCTCAAAAGTTGTCCGGGGCAAGGTATTCTTTTAAGCTCAACATGTGATTTAACTCTTATTGGTTGGTGCGACTCCGATTGGGCCAGTTGCCCCCTGACTCGTCGTTCTCTCACTGGGTGGTTGGTATTTCTTGGCGGTTCTCCTGTTTCTTGGAAAACCAAGAAGCAGCACACAGTCTCTCGCTCGTCGGCTGAAGCTGAGTTACTGCGGAATTAAAATGGCTCAAAGGATTGCTTCTTACTCGGTATTTCTCATGATCATCCTATGCCTTTATTCTGTGATAGTCGGTCAGCACTTCATATTGCTCATAATCCAGTGTTTCATGAACGTACGAAACACATTGAGGTGGACTGTCACTATGTTCGTGATGCTATTCAGGAAGGTTTAATTACTACTCAGCATGTCTCTACTGATGAACAACTTGCCGACATCTTCACCAAGGCTCTTGCCAAGTGACAATTTTATTATCTCCTTGGCAAGTTGGGCATTTTTGACCCCCGTGCTCCAACTTGAGGGGGGGTGTTAGACACGTGTGTAGATAATTTTGCATTAGCCTCTTTTGTAAATTAATTATTGGGCCATAGTATTTAGTTTATAATAAGGCTGCAGTTCATATGTATAAATACGGGATGTACTCTTTTGATTAAGGGAATGAAAATTATTTGACATTA